GCTCTACTTGAAACTATGTACTTATCAGAAGCATCTACTAAGGTCAGAGGTCAAATGAGCCTAATGATAGCTTCAGAAAAACTGGAGGCTTCACTTTTCAGACTACAAAGTCAAATCAGTTTTTCTTTTTACATACAACATATGGAAAGGCTTCCCAATACGAATCACTGAATCAGCCGGTAGTAACTGTGCACAATCAATAGTCAAAGCTATCCCAAGCTATGACAGTTAGAATTATTAAGTGTTGCACACAGACTCCTGCACTTGCAATGTTTCAATAGTTGACCTTTAACAGGCAGACAGTGTTTTTAATTTCTCACTTTATTTATGACATGAATTAAAACCACATTTGGTGTTTATACTTTTTACCGTATGTAAACTGTTTACCGTGAGTGTAAGATTACAGCCATTGCTTATATGACACTTCTCTTTGTGTATATATATATTTTTTGGCAAACTGTTAATGACAGTGTGTGGGAGTCTGTTTGCAATGCTGGATATGTTTGACCCTTTTCTAAGCACTTGTCTTATGAAACAATTAGATGATGTGCTTTTTGAGAAAAAAAAAAAATGTTTTCCTCTTCTTTCAAATTTAGAGTCTGGGATCCAAAGAAATGTTCTCGCCATGGCAACTAATGCAAATGTCTACAGGACAGCAGACAAAATACTCGTGACCTTTGAGAATCAAATTTAAGACTTTTTAATGCCTCACAAGACTCCTCAAGACCCAGAGATGCCCTTTGCACGATACAAACACCCCACCATGCATTATACAGCAATGCTGATGCATGACAATAGCAAAATAGAAAAATCACAACTTCCTGCAAATTACACAAACTACCAAAAGTGGGTGAGACGTGGGAGGCTGTGCAGGAAGTGATGCACTTGGCCCAGAAGTAACACTGTGTCAGTTTTACAGCTCTGACAGTACAGCACAGGAAACAATCTTTACGCACAAGGGTTTTTATTCGTTGGATGAAGGACAGCACACACCTGTTGTTAAACAACCTCCCCAGCGACAAAACAATGGTGAAACCTACACTTTCAAAAAACCAAACAAAAAGTATAAAGGGCAACTAAACTGGTGCCAAGAGAGCCGACTGAGTTCAAGGTTGAAGCAACATATTATGGCTGTGCAAAGCTAAACAACCGAGGCCGGCTTAGAAATCCCCTGTTGTGAATGTATAATAGAAACAAAGCTCTTCACGGTGCAGCGCGGCATGACCAAAAGCACGCTTCAACTGACGGCAGGAGGTTAAGCTATTCGAGGAGCAGAAGAACACTGCTGTGGTTTGTATGAACACTGCTGTGCAAAACTCTTGATCTCTTGAATGTTAGATGCATCAATTGTTATACATTAATCCAATACTATTAGACGGGTAAATTATCAGTCCAAAACTGGCAAAGGATTCCCAACATAGAGTCATAAACAAGTGGAACAAGGCAGAGTTCAGCAACAGATGGTAAGAACCCCACAAAGCCCTGGGCCTGCTTTCACAAAGACAGTTTAAACTGGTATGAAGGATTAGATCTTGATCTACCGCAAGGCTAACTTAGCCTGAACAAGTGACACCTACACCAATAACCCCCTCCCAAAAAAAAAAAAAAACATGACTCATAATTTGTGTCGCTAAGAAAAATAAATACTGAGAACACGACTTTATTATGAAGCCCAGATTATAGTATTTATTAAAGAGTAAAGCAAAATTCATGGTACTGTGTTTATGTCCATTTATGGAGGAAGAAGGCTGTGGAGTGACACTGGAGTTCACCACGAAGGAGATGAAGCAGTATGAGAACTAAGACAGTACCTGCAGTGGATAGTTTTTGTTGCTATAAATGATGGCACCAGTTTATTTGTGAAGTCCTGTTTTGAAGTTTCCAGATGAGAATTTTCCCCACGTTTTACAACAGCATGACAAGAATGGGTGGGACTGCACTCCTCCTTCCTAAATGACCAATATCCTCCGAATACCTCCTTTTGATATGATGCAAAATGAGCGAGCAAGCCCATAAAACTCAGCAGGAAGGTATTTACAGAGATTGCTCTTGTCCCATTGACTTCTACAGGACTGAAGTATATTTGCAACCACATGCCCACATTCAAAGTAACACAGCTTTAAGGCTTTTCCATGTTAGCTTCACTTTTCAGACCTTGCTGGTAGCATCCTGTAAGCTGCAACATTAAATCATTAGCCACCTAGCTACTGCTCTAACAGCAAGCAGGACATTTCTTTCTAATCACTTATGGCACCTCTGTACCATTTTTCAGTATCTGTGTTTCCCTTATTTTATTCAAACATTTTCCGCTAACCAGAATTCAGAGGATAAAGTGTTTTTTCTAAAGGATTCATTCAGAGATCATGAAGTCTGATCAGTTATTTTATGTAATTAGTAGTCAGAACCCATCTTTGTGAAACTGGCCACAGTTCTGTACGTCAGTCAGGCGTGTCTCTGGGATTACGTGGACGGAAGAAACCAAGAAAGCCTAAATCCACAGAAGAACAGTGGCCGGTTCTGCAGGTTGCTTAGAAGACCCTACATGCTCACTACCTTAAAAACTCTGTTCCCAAAGAACTGGTTTGAATGGTGGTCACGTCATACATTTATTTAATTAAGAATTCTAATCACTAAAATCGAATGACAGTATTATTTTTGAAATCTGAAAACATTTGATCGATTTTGATCAGCAACAAGTTCAAAATATGTTTCATCCTCTGAGCTCGCATGTGTTCGCTTCCTAAAAATACACAGACAGAGCTAGCCAACACCTTCTGTGTGTTGACAGGCAGATGCGTCATTGTTTGTGGCTGGCATCACAAGACAGACTCACCACTGCCGCGACTCTTGCGATTTGCCTTCCCCCCCGTCAGCAGCATCTTCAAGCTGTTTCTAAACATGACTGCAGCAGATGCCCTGGACTCGACTACAGAAGAATCTGTTGGAGAAAGAAAAGACAGAAGATAAATATTAATATTTCCAAGGGCACTTCAAGCACCATCAGCTGTATTCCGTAAGATACAACTGATGTTTAGGTTCGCTTAGGAGAATCTTATTTGACAGACAGACAGAGAGTGACATGTAACAAGTGCTCTATTTGACCAGAATTTAAAAGACGGGCTGAAAATTCGGAGCATTTGCAATTACGACTAACAGGATCTGACTTTTTTTTTTTTTTTAAAGGGCTTGAACAGTTAAAAACATTATCATGGCTATCAAAGCAGAACCACAGAGCTACATTCTCAAAGCAGGAGAGAATAAAGAACCTTCAAAAACGTTAATGGGGATTAATGAGAGAAGATTGAAGCTGGGGAAATCCCATTCATGTATACCCAATCTTATCTATGTCATCAAGTGCTAGATCAAATGCTTCAAAGCAATTAGGGAAGAATAGAAGGAAGCACCACGGGTTTCACTATACTTCCTAAAAAGCAAAAAAATGCTTTTATTGTTTTTCATTCATAAACTATGGACAAGATGACTATGAGATAAAGCCTGCAGAGTGAGACATGGCTAGAGGGAAGCAACCAAAAAAAAAAAAAAAAAAAAAAACCCAGTTTAGTCTGAACACCAGAAGTAACACGTACCCTTCACATTACGGCCGCTGCTGTGATTAAAAAAAAAAAAAAAAAAAAAGACGAGCCTTAAGGTTTACAGTATTTTGTAGGACAGGAACATTAATAAAGATCAAGTATATATATATATATATATATATATATATGATAGGGGTGCAACGATACACAACATTCATGGATTCATGGTTCGGTTCAGTTCAATACTTTGGTGTCACGGTTCGATATGTTCATGCCTTTTTAATTTGTCAT